TTATTTATATTTGTTTTTTTCATAATTTTGACACTTTTTAACGGTTGAGGGGGCAATTTGAACAATTCGATTGGGTTCAGGGGCTTATTTAACCCCTTGAGTTGCAACATCAGATGCACAGTTGGCACATGACCTGATGACGTGGCAATAACCGGATGGTTACCTCCAAATGGTTAAATGTGAAACTTTCTATCCAGTTCAAGGTGTCAATTGAGACCTTTTTTGTTCAGGGGTCGAATTGAGCATTATGGACGTGTACAGGGGCTTATTTGACTTTTTAGCCTTTACTTTTTTTAATCCATGTGCAAGCCAATATTAATTAAATTTAACGAGACAAAGATAGTATAGTATTACCACTTATTGATTCGACAAATTCCGAATATTATTTTAAGGGAAAATGTCAAATAGACCCTTCTACTATTTCCAATCATATCCATCATTTTAGCCATTCTACTAAAAAGCATCATATAAATACGTTTACTTTTTAAATATAATTAATATAACAATGTAATAATATCAAAAATAGGCTAAATGTAAAAATAGAAAAATAATTTAAAAAAGTTAAAACAAAAATTAAAAAATCAGAAAAGTTGAAAAAATAAAGTTAAAATGCATAAAATATAAAACCAATTTCAAATTTTCAAAAATATTGACGGTAACATTCTTAAAATTTTCACAAATTTATTTATATTTCTTCAAAGTTTAACATTTTTTAGATTTTTTAAAATACAAGTTAAAAACAAAATTAATGACCAAATTGATCAATTTTGTAAAGTAAGCGTACTTATAGAAATTATACTTTTCGGTACATGGGTTTAAGTGATCAATTGAAAATAGTAGAAAGACTTATCTAACCCTTTTCCCTTTTTTAAAATTTATGAATGTATATTATACTACGTATTTATGATAAAAAGAATACCAATTTGGATAATTGGGAAAATCACATATATGGTCCTTCAGTTATCCACGAAATTGAAATCTTAGACCTGTATTTCTGAAATTGTAAATGTCCCCCTCAATTGTCCAAATTGTTGTAAATGTGGTCCTTTAAGTAGTGAAATGTACTGTGAAATGTACTCTTGCACAAATTGTATATTTCGCCCCTCAAAAGTATCACATTTACAGCATTTTGGACAATTGAGGGGTGCCATTTACAATCTCAGAAATACGAGTCTCAGATTTCAATTTCTTGGATAACTGATGGACCATAAATGCGATTTTCCTTGGATAATTTGAGTTTGCACCCCATTTTATTGTCCAAATAAGACTTTGCACTCCGTTTTCAATGAAAAGCCTACTTTGTTTGTGGAACATGTTAATAAGTGTGGAAATATGGAGCCATATAACCCCTTTCTTGTGGGAAAATCGATGTATCTTGTGCAATAAGTAACTTAGTGTTCTTAATAATTAGTATTTAATTGGAATTTTATCAATCCAGGACCTGAAAGAAGGACAAATTATCAATTCGGGACCTTAAAGATGAAATGCATCAAAAAGGGACTCCAATAATAGCTAACTATCAATTTAGGACCCGAATGATTGAAAACTGTTAATCTAGGACCTAATTTATTATTGTTTTTATTTTATAAATATTAAGTATTATTTGGAATAAATAAATCAAAACCTATGAAATCTCAGATCCAAGATTGACAGTTTTCCATCATTTGGGTCCTATATCGATACATTTCATCTTTCATGTCATGTATTGATAATCCATCCATCTTTCGGATCCTGAATTGATAAAATTCCTATTTAATTTGAACTAGATTTTCCCAATATTTTTGGAATTCATCTCATCTAAAATTCTTATCCATGATCTTTTCACCTGACCCAACCTATAAGAAACTACTGTCTTCTCAATTAGAGCTTTGAAGATTTTGAATTTCTACTTTTCTTTTAAAATATATAGATGATATTTTCTTAAAGATGCAATGACACCATTTCCATCCTTGAATGATAAAGAAACATTAAATTTAAATTCTTTTAAATGAGATGGACTATTATACATGTGAACTCATGATATTTTGTATTTGGCGGTAACAAAGAATATGTCTAGAATGGAATAAGCATGTTTTCTTTTGGACTGAAATTTGTTGGTCTAGTCTGGTCTGGTCTGATCTGGTCTGGTCTGGTCTGATCTGGTCTGGTCTGGTAAACGTCTGGTCTCTGTGTATTTTATAACTACGGAAGTCAAGTCTGGTCTGGTCTGGTCTGGTTTGGTCTGATCTGGTCTGGTCTGGGACTGAAAACAGTCCAAAAAAACATCCTTAACAAGATGAATGGTATTAGTTGAATATGAGATATGAAAAATATTTAGGGAACAATTTGTCAACATATAACAAAAGTAATAATCACCTTTAATAATTCTTTAAAGCTATTCCATTTTATCTTTAGTAATACGGAGTGAGGTGAAACAATACGACGTTTTTTTTCACATTGCCATGATATGCCGGCGACTTCGTGAGGTAGTTGAAACATGTCGCATGCGTATGCGTCACTAATCTAAAGTTAGAAAGCCGACCTTATGAAAACAATCCGTTCACTTATAGGAATATTTTTTTGCAGGAGAATTAGAAAACTGGAAGAAGAAAAAATTAGAAAACGTATTTGGTTAATTTGTTTATTCTTCACATTTGAAAAATTGAGACACGTTTCTGATTTTGTACTTAAAGAGGAGTCATATTTCCGTGTTTTCCAAAAATGAAAATACGCAGTGGTATAATGTGTGTTATTATGTACGTAGTATTTGTTTGCACTCTAGTATATGATCGAGCTATTTTCTTTAAAACCACATAAGTTATCGAGATCCATGCAATGGTGTATGTCGCGCGGATACTATATTTTATTTTTTTAATTAGGAAAATCAATGTGTTAGCGTTTAACACACTTTTAGGTATTATTATAATTTTGTTGCAAAATAAATAAGTTTCTAATCCATAGATCAATAATAAAATATCTGGCTTTAATTTTTTTACCCCATGAGCTTAAAATAATGAATATTTAAATTTTTGAAAAAAATAATTTACATAAATAATTTCAAGTTATGAGCTTAAGTTATCACAACACCACATCGTAGTAATGAATAGTCATATTTATGTAAATATGTTTTATTTTAGTAATATTCTTGTAAAAATCCTTTTTAAAAATATGACACTTTTTGATGTGGTTGTAGCTATAAGCGCAACAAAAGATATATTTTTAACTTAAAAACTATATATAAAAGTACTTAAATTATTCGCTTGTTAAACTTTGTTCGTGAAAATGAGACGATGCAATTTGATATGTAAACGTTTTGTGTTATTTCAAATGTTATTTAACAAGAACATAAGCTAAATAACAATGAAATAATTTTAATGTATTGATTTCTTATTATATTGAAACCTGCGGCCTCTCATATACTACGTATATAGGAGAATAGCCGAATACATAGCACACCTACAAAGAAAACTATTACTAATTAATAGGTTAATTAATAATAGAATATTTCTTTAACATAAATAGCAATAACCGTAATATTATTAATTACGAGTACATACTTTATTTTGTATTTTTATGCACACATATTTATTTTTTGTTGTGTCAAATAATATTTATCATTTTTTCCTCCTACGATTTAACAGATTTCAATTGCTCAATCTTAATCGAATAATGAAATGGAAAACAGAGAAAATTTGAAATACATGTGTTGAGATTCAGAAAATGGAAAATTGAGAAATAGAAACAGAAAACAAAATATAAAAATAGAGAAATAAGTAAACAAAACCTAACTTCTTACTGCTCGTATAGGAACATTCTTAAGTTGTGAATCTTTTTCTATGATCCCAATTTTATCACATTAATTCTTACATTCAATGAATTCACCTCCAACACTTAAACAGATTACATCGCGATTCGCTTAACATTGCTCAAGATTTTCAAAGGCGTATGTTTAATTTATCAGGTAGCTACTCCTAACTAATTAATAAGTGCGTGAGCATAGCTCGATCAAGTGGTAGATAGGAAGTGTCATAAGGGATAAGTCATGAGTTTGAATCATGACAACTGCAACAAGAGATTAATATGCAAAAATGTATAGAGTCTCTGCATATGCTTGGGCCAGAGCTTCACTCTCTATGTGTCAGCTTGTGATTAAATTCCAATTTACATCCTCCGAGTGAACTATTTTTTTAATAGTTCAAATTTTCATAACTAATTAAGTGTGATACAAATTTTCTTCTCAACTCTTTCCAAAACTAACAATTTAATGTTCTTAACAGTTATAAGTCATAGAATGTCGTTTGATTTGAGGTTAAATGTAATACTCGAGATTAATTTAAAAAGATTAATAGCACTACTCACACCAATAAAGTACATCTTCTATTAAGGGTGTTTGCACGAGACTAACCTTAAAACGAGTGACCCATGTAAAGTTTTTCAGGACACACACGAGTGTGAACAAAGTGTGTTGTGAAAGACTCGTATTGATTTGTTGGGACATTACTGGATCTGGATATCATTAATGAGTAATCACATCAGACCCCGCGAGATCAGGGTGTTACATTAAATGTCCGCTGAAATGGCTTAAGGTAAGCCACTAATGATGTGTCAAATAAGCGTGTTAAGACCATGAATGAAATTGTGAATCTTAGTTTTAAACCATGGGTGACATGGGAATTAAGTGGGTTGAATTACTACCACACATACCCACATAAGTAATTATATACTCCTCAGTCCCACATAAAATTTGGGTAAAGTTGATTTGCACGTAAAATAATAAAATAAAAATTATTGTTTAAGATTTGTGCAGAGAAGATAGAAACAACTTTAATCACATACGATAGTATTTGTTATTTTAAATGAAAATAACAAAATTTTTTGGAAGCAAAAAAAAAGAATTGGTCAATTTTATTTTATGGAAGGGGTGGTGTGTAGACACGTAGGGGCGAACAATTTCTCTCTATTAAACTCTGCACTTGCTATAAATAATAATTACCGCTTGCAACCATTTGTCCATTCCTTACATCCACTACGTGATCTTTAATTGACTTTCCTTTTCATTCTACTTCACTACCTCTTTACATATACGGAGTGTTTTTATATGGAGTACCATCTGATCCCCATGCTTCTTTGTGTAAGTATATTCTATTAGCGATTAGTATATTAGATTACTTAAATTCTTCAATTTCTATTTTATGTTTATGTTAACCTGGGTGAAATTTAATATGATGATCCTTTCTTACTTATTATTACGGTTAGCAATCAGAATGATGGTAACTATGAATTTCACCAAGGATCCGTTTAGTACCCTTCATTTTTGGGTCAAAGTTTTAAACAAAACATTAAATATTTGAATTTGCACAATAAATTTTGTGATAATAAAAATGAGCAAGGATAAAACCATTATTTGGACAATTAATTAGTTTGCTGATAGGAACTACAATAGCCTTTTCATACTGCTGTTTGGATGGGTAATAATTACCTTTATCATTGGGGATAATGGTCAGTTTGGTCCTCGAAGTTGCAAAAAAGGGGTCAAATAAGTCCTATATAGAAAATTTTGACCGGACGTGCCATTTGAGGTGGCTCCCGGTGGAATTTTTTGATGAAAATTTTTGACCATCTTATTCATTAAGTCTAATTTACTCATACCAAATTTTAGCTAACAATTCAATAAGGAAGACATTCAAATGAATTCTTGAAGATAACTGTGCCGTTAAAAGCGTAGTTATCTTCAAGAATTCATTTGAATGTCTCCCCGATTGAATTGTTATCTGAAATTTGGTATGAGTAAACTAGACTTAATGAATAAAATGCTAAAAAAATTCATCAAAAAATTCTATCGGGAGCCACCTCAAATAGCACGTCCGGACAAAATCTTCTATATAAGGACTTATTTGACCCCCTTTTTGCAACTTCGAGAACCAAACTGACCGTTTACTCTTTATCATTCTGTGTGTTGTGGACAATTACGAGTACTCGTAATATATTTCGGCCACAAGCAACTTGCGATCTGACGGGATGGCAATATTGTTAGAACTTAGAACCTTTTTTTTTTTATTAAAACGACTTTTTATTAATATAGAGCAAACATGCAAAATAAAAATTAGATAATTATCACTGATCCGATCGTAAACCCTAGTAATAGAATTAGAGTCAATCATCCATACAAAGCAACCTGATTCGCTAGACATAAAACGAGCAAAACAAACTTAAAATGATCGAAAATAAAGCAATGTCTATCAAAAGTCCTTCAAAAATCAAATAGTCCAACCATATATGCTCGAACTGAAATAAAAGTAAGTACTACGACAGGAAAAATAATACGATATAAAAACTTTCTCAAAATTGCTTCCTCGCACGGAGGTGGTTCCAGAGGAGGGCCAGGGGCGGATCCAGAAAATCTTACCATTGGGGGCACCTATTAGGTAAAAGTGATTGGTTTTAATAACTAAACATAAATTAACTTCAAATTTCAAAAGACGAAATAACCAAATATAAGGAAGACGAAATATATAATTGTATTATTCACCAAGCAAAACGAAATAAAAATACTAAATAGTAATTTAGGAAGAAAAATTGTAATAAGAAGAACTAAAAAGTTGACTAAAATACTATTATACTAATAGGCTAAATACCCTAATTTACTAAAAAGTTGACTAAAATACTAATTTAGGTTATATATTGTAGGAGAAGTTTTTTTTTGGAAATCAAAGTAGGAGAAGTTAGGGCTTCTTTAGCAACTAAATTATTAAAACAATAGGTTAAGGCTCTGTTTGCAATCTCTGTTTGATAAGTGCTTTTGGCTTTTCTTTTAAGAAAAAAACACTTATTTTACCAAACACTACCAACTTTTACTATCTTGGTTTTCATGTAGAATCTAGTTTTTACTTTTTCTATTACACAAAAAGCACTTATTTTACTAAACACTACCAACTTTTACTACTAATCACTTTTTCCCAAAAGTGCTTTTATTTATGCACAAGTGGTTGCAAACAAAGGCTAAATAATTAAATAGGACCGACTGACCATGGAATTAAAAAGGCCCTATGGTTTGGCAAAAAAATTAATGGGGGCATTCTTTTTTTTATTGGGGGCATTATTCTATTTGTATTTAAAAATAAAAAATTAACAAGTAAAATGACAAAGTCATTGGGGGCATGTGCCCCCAACCCTTGTAAGCTGCATCCGCCCCTGAGGAGGGCAGGTTGTTGTGGTATGGTAGAAGAGAATTTCAACCCTCAGAAAATTCGTCTGAATCTCTATGATGTTGCTTTGTGTTTCTTTTCCCAAAAAATCCAATCCGCACCCCACCGCCCTTGCATTCCACTCACGTTCTGAAACTCCAATCATGAAGCTCTCATTCCACGAAAACCTCTGCCGCACGAGCAAAACTCGATTGGCGGAACAAAAAAACCTAACTAGCTAGTGTAGGGAGACTGACGCTCCCTCGAAAGAATAGATAGCGGAGAAGAAAACCCTAAAGGCGGAATTCACCCTAGAGAGGGAAAGTCTTAGATACATAATTAATATTATTACAACCTTATTTTTGTCCAATCACAAATAGGAAGGTGTAGATTTTTATTTTAGAAAATGTCAATGTTCTGATCTTGAAATCTCAAATCTCCTGATTCTCTCCTACAAAAAAAGTGTCAATCAAAAGTTTGAAAATTCTCATTTTTTTGTGATTGGACAAAAATGCCCCAACCCCGTCTAGTCCCACCACTTGCATCCTTTTGGCGGAGTTCGTCGCCTAGATTCCAGCCGCTGCCCCCCGCCTGTCGCCGCCATCACCGAAGCTTCGGTGGGCCAAAAACATTTCCTGATTTTTGACCAATACGTCTGCCATTGCCATCGGAAGTCCGCCGCCACCGACATTGGTCGGGACCACCACCACCAGACTGCCCCGCCATCGTCGGACTTCCCCGTCACCAATTGACCGCCCTGGTTTAATTTCCCATTAATTAATTAGACTAGACGTGTTAAAGATAAAAAAAATCAATATTTAATCTTATTTTGTGAAAGATTTAAGTTTTTGTTCCATGCATGTGTGCAATTATGTTGCAATTATGTTTCCATTTAATTTGTTTGTGTTCTTTTTCATCAGTTATGTATGGTGGGAAGCGATGCAGCAGCTTCATCTTCTTGTATGCTGACCATGTATTGGAATACGAAGCTTCCCAACACTGCCATGCCCCCAGCAATCAAAAATTCACTCCCAACTGCAGCAGCTACTGCTTGGTCCTCCTCCTTCGCAAAGGAATTTCAGAGCTTAAACAGCGTCATTATCTACCGCCACAACGCGACGGAAAACGAATTCCACGACAACTCCGGTGTCTCCCTCTTCTTCAAGCCTGCCGCCTTACACAAAGGTAACGCCGACGGCATGACCTTACGATTATCCACGCCAGCGAACGGCCCCGTTTTCCTGCCCCGGACGGAATCCGAAAAGATCCCGTTTTCCTCCCGGGAGATTCCCCGAATCCTCGACCGCTTCTCCGTAAAACCCGATTCCGATGAAGCTCGGGAGATGAAGAAAACCATTAAAGAATGCGAAGAACCCCCTGTCAAAGGAGAGGAGATGCAATGCGCCACGTCACTGGAATCCATGGTCGACTTCGCCATATCTATGATGCAGGGGAGGCAGGGGAAGAAGATCGTCCGGGCTGTATCGACGGAGACCGTTGCCGGAGAAACCTCATTCTTTCAGAATTACAGCGTTTCAGGCGTTGAGAAAATGAATGAAGAAGGCGATGGGGTCATGGTCTGCCACAAGCAGAGCTACGGATACGCCGTCTTCCATTGCCACAAATCAGAGACGACGGATGCTTTTGAGGTTTCCCTGGTCGGAGCTAATGGAGCTCAGGTAAAGGCGGCGGCGGTTTGCCACAAAGATACTTCTGGTTGGAACCCAAACCATTTGGCTTTCCAGGTGCTTAAGGTCAAGCAAGGGACTGATGAACCTGTTTGCCATTTCCTTCCAGAGAATCATGTTGTCTGGTATGCTAAGAACTGCATGGGAGACGTATTTCCCCAACTTAACGTTTTAAGAACCTCGGCTAGGCCAGCTTAATTGTCAGCCACTACATACATGTCTGATGTCTGTGTAATGTATAACGTACCGTGTATAAAAGAATAAGGTTGACAATATAATAAATAAAAGAGTCCATGGCGTTCTATGCTTTGTGAGGCAGGTATGCTTTCTTCCCATTTTGATCTTTTATTAATATACTCGTGCTTCATAGTTGTTGACAATAAGTGAAGGAAGATTTCAGAAATTAGAAGTCTAAATCAGAAATAATATGAGGGAGATTATTGAAAAGGAACAAACCTTTTTTTATTAGAACAATTCAAATTAGCTTGATTTGGCTTAATAAAAAATGGTGCGGCTAGTATTCTTAGGATCAGGGATGGATTTGGGGGGGGAACCGCTCCCCTTGGACTTTCAAGGGCACTAAATGTCATCGTGTATTTACTAATGGAAGTTTTTAAACAAAAATTAACCACAGAGTCCTACACTAGTGAAAAATTTCGACCCGCTAAACTAACGAATTGTTTTTCACCCTATTACACTAGAGGAAATTTTTTCAACTCCTACACTAACGAAGAAAATTTCGCCCCTCTTGACTCGAAATTCTGGATCCGTCCCTGCTTAGGATTAATTATTCTTAAATCCCTTGGTTGTATCTTAGGATAGTATATATGTTGGAGGTATTGGTTCTACCAAGACTTTTCATCCACCTATTATGTTAAAGGCTTGCACCACTAGTGGAAAACAGTGATATGCCGCATATTTGACCGCCGCAGAGAAAATATTAGTGGCGCTTATTGTAATTAAGCACCTCATACAAATTAATCATTAAAATATAATTCTCCTCACTGTGCGGCGTTTTCTTAAAAAAAGTGCCGCATACATTATAAAATTAAAAAAAAACGTTTATACTTGCGGCACCTATCAAAATAAAAGTGCCGCAAACCCATATTTTTTTTATTTTTAATTCCTGTGCGGCGCATATTAAGGAAAAAGCGCCGCAATTTGTGTTTTTTTAAATCCGATTTGCATCATTAACATGCATGAAGAAGCAACTGGATGAAAGGCTAGATATGAGATTTGAAGAGGTACACAGACATATCAGGAGCAATCTAATGATTCAGCAAGTATTCAACTCTGAGCAAAGAGCCCTGCTCAAAACAAAACTTTCACAACAGTCCGCTTCAACATCCGACATACAGCATGAGCTAGCTGCGCTTCGAGCAAAAGATGAAGAACTAGAAAACCAGATTCTAGCATTCCAGAAGCAGCAACAGCCTATATTACAAACAACGGTCTCAAATCATGAAGCAGGGCCCTCTGCCCAGGTACCTTCTCTACCTTCTCTTCCTCCTAATCTTAAGGAGGCTCTTCGAAAGATACAGGAGCATGAAGACCTCAACAAGCTAAGGAATGAAGAATTTCCAGCCATGATAAAGCTCTCCTACAAACTCATTAAAGAGCAAGAAGCCCATGCCAACTCATTTGAACAACTCACCAAGGACATATCTGAGAACTTCAAAGTCCATCAGAAGGCCACTCAAGAAACGTTTTGGAAACAAGGAAGTGACCTACAAAAGCTAGGTTAAGAGGTGGAAACCACAAAGAAAATTCTAAAGAATATGGATCGGAAGAAGAAAAGAAGAAGAAGCCAAAGCCAAAGAAGAAGAAGCCAGAGCCAAAGAGTACATAGGGCCTAAAGCATGGGACGCACACAACAAATCATGAAGATTGATTCTGAATTGATCTCTCATGGGCTCATCAGTGAAGACAAATAAATCAACAATATTTGCTCCAGCACAAGAAGACACATTTCAACACGTTCAAGATAATCTCTTCTCAACCAACGGATGAGATTAATCAACTGGAGAGACCTATAAATATAGGCAGAAACATGAGTTCTTAAACCAAGTTTTTGAGCCTTCTAAGTAGAGAAAATCCCATAAAGCATTCAAGAGATATCTAGCAAAAGAGAAAATGCCTGCTTAACTTTGCTCTGTGCTTAGACTCTTGCTTCACTAAACTTCCAAGTTAGAACCTCTCATTGCTATATTCTGGATGTTTAGTTCTTAGTTGGAGGCTAGTTTTTGTTCAATCATAAATTGTTGTAAACACTTAGAAGGACTGTGTTATCAAGTCCTAAGTATGGTTAAATAGAGTACCTTTTGATCTCCATTGGATGAATTGAGAAAATCTAAGGATTGAGTAGTTTGGAGTGGTGTGTACTCCTTGTGAAACACCTTAAATCTAGGTCAGTTGTGAGTTAAGGGTAGATTGACACTAAGTGTATTGGGTTAATACTTTAGTGGAAATCCATCTGAAAGAGGGTGGGACTGGACGTAGGAGGATTACACCACCTCTGAACTAGGATACACTGTGTGTTGATTTACTTTCAGTCAACAGAGCACACACTAATCACTTCCTATATTGAGCAGCTGTTTCAGCAGTCAACTAAGCAGTAGCCTACTGCTAAGTCCACTGCCCATCTATACACTTGATCCTTTGTAATTTCCATGTGTATGTTTGTGTTTTTAGTTAATTTTGTTGGTTGATATTTTGGAAATTTCACACTTTTGGTGTAATATTTTAGTTTGTAAAATTATTTGTAATTTGTTTAGATTAAGATTTTTCTGAGTTTAGGACATGTCAAAATCATCCCAATAATCAAAGGATGGATCCTAAAGACCAAAGAATGTGCAAAAGGGAGAAGATCAAATGAAGATTTTGAAATTTGTTCAGTACTCGGTCGAGTACTACCAATACTCGGTCGAGTATTGATCGGATATGCTGGTCAAAATCAAATCTGGGAGCAAAAGGGCGTGGCTGAATATTTGATAAAAATCATGTCTCCTACTCGGTCGAGTATTTGAAATACTCGGTCGAGTATGCCTATTTTCCACAATTTCCTAGAAATTTCCTCTCATACTCGATCCAGTATCCCATATACTGGATCGAGTACAACACCCTGCCACCTCCATTTTGCTATAAATACACCCCTTTTCCTTCACAAAAGAATCATCTCTTCTTCCATATACTTAAGCTCCGTTTAGAATAGTTATTTCTTATATTTTTCCATAACTTCTTCTCTTGATTATTAATTCTTCCCTTAATCTCAGGTCGTGGATGGTTTAGAATAGTTATTTCTTACATTTTGCTATAAATACACCCCTTTCCCTTACTCATTCTATATTAATGTTGGAGGGTTGCTAAGTGACGATTAGTTAACGTTCCGACATTAATTATTACTAAAAACGACCAACGAACCGATGGTTTGTAACACCGTCGCCAAATATATTTACTTTTATGTAAATAATGTATTGAACCTTAATAAAGGATTTATGAATTTACGAAGTTGTAAATTTTTATTATTTCTTTCGCGTGAATAGTAAATTGCACGTGGGACCCACACCGGGAGCGGGGGCCGCCCGATATTCCCGAGATCACATAAATTATCATTATGGGTCGAAATAATATTTATATGGTAGTGAACATCTTATTTGGGCCATGGAAAGGCCTGGGGTTGACCGATTGGTCAAAAGAAGCCCAATTACCGGTACCGACAATTAAACGGATAACAGCCCGAAAATGAATTTCGGAGACTTCCAAATTAAAGTTTTGGGATATATATTATTTCAAAGGTGAGTATGATGGGGAACACATAATATATTTTATTTTACCCGATAAAATAAATTATGATTAAAACAGTCCGAAAAATACAACTTTCGGGACCGATTGTACACACCGGGACACAAAGGGATGACCTCCCACAGGAGTGGGGGCCAACCCACGTTTTTTTGTGCTGTAACAACAAGGAAGGGCCTAGGTTGACAAGAGATTGAGTGGAGGAAGGTGCAAGGGGGCCCTTTGACCTCACTCATTTGCCAAAGGAGACAAAAAGGACACCCCAACATCTCCCCTATGCATTATTTCGGCCTAGCTACCAAAGGAGGAGGAAGAAAAAGCTCTCCAACCTTTCTCCATTGCTGCAACTCGAGCTCAAGCAAGAGAGGTCCAAGGAGTGGGATTAAAGAAGGAAAAAGGCTAGGAAAAGTGTGTAAATTAAGGTAATGACCTCATTATAACTTTTCCTTTATTTTTCTCCTACCATATGAGATATATATCATGTGAAGAATCCTTAAGAGGGTTCTACATGTTATAAGTATGGATTTATGGGTTGGGAAGTGATTCTATGTCCAAGAACGGTCTTAGAAGCCAAAACGACCGGTTCACCGGAAAATAACCTTTTTGAGGTTATTTGTATTAATATGTGTTTTATGATTATAAAACCTTGTTAGGAACTTGTGAAAGGTATTTCAAGTGATTTCACAAAGTTGGAAAAGTCGCCGGAGTTGTCGCCGGAGTTGACCGAAAGTCGCCGGAGTTTCACCGGAGTTCAACCAAGAGGGGTAGAATTTCATACGCTAGTTCAAGGTGAGTGGACGGCTTAATATCTTATAACTTTTGGGTTAATTATGAGATTACCTAAATAAATGTTATATGTGTTCATAATGATGTTTAAAAGATATTTAAACATGTGATTAGCCAACTTGATTAAGTTGTATGAAAAGAATTAATTGTTTATGCATGAAATATGATATGAGGAATTATATAAAATGCATATTAGCTTGAAGTGTAAAAGAAGCACAAATGAGTATTATTAACTTAATTATATGATGATTAAGTTGATATGTACAAGGCTTGAATTGGTGGTCAACGACAACGTTGACCGATGAATAATGGATTAATTAATATCGGTTGATATTAGTTAATTATACATTTATATAATTGCATGGCTTTGCATGGGTTGTGATACATAAGCTTTATGTATTGAATTAGTTATGAGTAACTAAGTATGATATCGACTCTATCTAGGTTGATAGGAGGTTGATCATAGGAAAATATTTTGGTGGAGGACCCTAGTACTTAAAAGTACTTAACACTCAAAACTTGGTGGAGGACCCTAGTACTTAAAAGTACTTAACACTCAAAACTTGGTGGAGGACCCTAGTACTTAAAAGTACTTAACACTCAAAACTTGGTGGAGGACCCTAGTACCTAAAAGTACTTAACACTCAAAACTTGGTGGAGGACCCTAGTACTTAAAAGTACTTAACACTCAAAACTTGGTGGAGGACCCTGGGGCTTAAGGTCCTTAACACTCGGATTATAAATTGGTGGAGGACCCTGGGGCTTAAAGTCCTTAACACTCGGATTATAAATTGGTGGAGGACCCTGGGGCTTAAAGTCCTTAACACTCGGATTATAAATTGGTGGAGGACCCTGGGGCTTAAAGTCCTTAACACTCGGATAATAAATTGGTGGAGGACCCTAGTACTTAAAAGTACTTAACACTCAAAATTTGGTGGAGGACCCTAGTACTTAAAAGTACTTAACACTCATAGATTATGATATTGAAATAGGGACAAGGAGGAGTCCTATACACTCATAGGTATATGGGTGGGTTGGGGTTTTTAGTCAAGAATATTGACTATTACTATTTTCCCAAATAAAACGGTGATCTACGGATCGGGTATTTTCCAAGTATATATGTTGGTCCCGTTTAATGTGGTAATCAGTCTAGAGGGGGGGGGGGGGTGAATAGACTGATTAGTTTTTCAAAATTTCTCTAAGTCCAAAATGGCTTGTCAGAGAATGTCGGATTCTGGTGACAGAGAAAGGCTGGTTCTGATATCAGAACTGGCCTTGGCAGCGGATTCTGGTCTGTCCGGGTAGCCTCAGAAACACTAAGGCAAATGCCTTTCTGATAACTCTATAAACAAGATCTGCTGAACACAGATTCCAAGTCTAAGAGTTAACAGTAAATATCCTAAGTGCAGAAATATAAATTGCAGTAAAGTAAATGACACCGGATATTTTTATAGTGGTTCAAGGAACAACGTGTTCCTCTAGTCCACTGTTCCACTAGCTTTGAAGTAGATCGGTTACAAAGCTTAGTTCCTAGTACTTAAGAAGTTCTCCACGCCTTCTTCAAGCCTAGCTGCCACCCAGGATGCAGTTCCACGTCCTGATGGCTGGTCCTTTCACTCAGCTTCCCGGAAGTATCACCACTTCACTACTGCAGTTACTTGGACGCCCTTCTTTGCAGAAGATCCTTTGAAAAACACAGAGTTTTTCCTCCAACTTGCTTCGTCACAAAAGATGTTTGATGAAGTTCTTGAAGTGTTGAAGAAATAGGATGAACTTTGCTGTGTGTTGGGATTTGAGATTATGGATATTGGAATCTTCCCAACGTAAGCTTGTCTTGTTGAAGATTGTAGAATTTGAGTCTCAAGAGAGCTTGAATTATGATGACCAAAGGTTGTAGCAAAGTTCATTTCCTATTCTTCGGTGAGTAGCTTATATACTGGGGTTGTCTGCCCGTTGGAGGAGGAGACAACTGCATTAAATGCGCGTACAGTTGACTTGACCGCCGTTTTGGAAGGTTTCTATTTTTATAATATATCTTCCCGGATTTCTTGGTCAATCATTTGCAATCAATCCTTCAGCGTATCAGGCTCATTTAATGTGCATTAAATGCTTTCCTTTCATGCACAGTCTTCTAGCCGTTGGATGTTTTTACCCGTTGAATTCATAGCTGATGAATGTTGCTTGAAATCTTCTAAGTGTTAGTCGGGCTCTGATCAGGCTCTTCTGATGTGTTGGATTCTGATGGCTTTCTGATGAGTTGAGTTCTGATGGATTTCTGATCTCTGACTGAACTCTAACTCTGACTCTGATAGGTCCACTGATGAGTACCTCTGATCTGTAGTTCTCATCGGCTATCAGATGTCCAAGTTTATCAGCAACTCTCATGGTGCAACTCTGATGGACTTCTGGCAAGAGAACTCTGATGGAGCAGTTCTCATAGATCGAGTCTGGTCGAGCAGTTCTGATGCACTTCTGATCTGATCCAAACCTGAGCAACTCTGATCGCAGACTACACTAATACTTACAATTGAAAATTCTAATACATAAAATCTAATTGGGGTACTTTAACTTTCTAATCCTATAGCATCATCAAAATCTAATTACATTTATTCCTTACAATATATATACTAATGAGTATTTCATAACTTGGGGGAGAGGACTATTTATATAAGTATCACCCTATGTTTGGGTCTTATACTTGAAACGCTAGTTATTCTATATTTAGCCTGCTACTCGTTCGGTACTTGTACTGACCCCTTCGGGGGGCCCCACCATTTTCAGGTTGAAGCTAGAGCTTGCTACTTGCACCTTCTCGCGGGTGGTATCACATCAGGAAGACGTGGTTCGTGCTTCCTTATTTTCTTTCAAACTACCGAACACTTGCTCATGGATATTTGTTCTACAATAAACTGTTTTTGGGGCTTGCATGCCCATGTTGTTGGCCGGCTGTGGCCTATGACTTACCGTTGAATATTTCCGCTATTCATTGGTTTAAATGTGATGTTGTTATGTATGTTTACTACTGAGTATGGATGGATTGTTTTCTAGGACGCCTTGTGTAATTAAGTGAGGTTGACTCGTGGGTGACGTCACTTGATTATACGGCGGTTGTACACGCGCTTAGATTGCGGTCTGGGGCGTGACAATTAAGTGGTATCAGAGCCATCTCAGTTCTAAACTATATAATCAACCTCTCACAAAAGATTTTGCAAAAGAGTTTTTACCGAAAACCATGAGCATTGTATTTTGACGTTATAGGACTATTGGTGCTTAAGTTGCAAGGCCTCTAATTGTTAAGACGGTACCCTTAACAATTGGTATGGTAGTGACTTGGGCCAATACGTGTCTGTAACGTTCTTCCGTCAATTGACATTTATAGGAGTCTAATGACTCATCCATATTTCTTTCAGAAATGGAGGGCAGGCGAATGGGGACCAAGAACAATCCGAGGGGGCAGGCGCCGGTGGCATCCCAAAGGGGAAGCCGGGCTGCATCTCGGGGTTCGAGAGGAGACCGTGGAGGCCGTGGAAGCCGTGGAGGTCATCAAGCTCAAACTGTGAGTGATAGCCATGTGAGCTCGGTGTATGAAACCAACACCGAGGACTATGACTCAACCTACGTTCCAGAAACGGAGCATGAGGAGACCCCGTATGATGGGGGTGACACATACACCGATGATGATGATGAAGAGAGTGATGCCAAGTTCGCCCAAATGGGCGAATTGCTTGAGTGGTATCAAAAAGAAAAACTGAGGAGAGACCTTAGGCGCCAAGCAAGGCGTGGCTCTCGCGGTGGTTCGGGTCAAGGAAGCCGGGGAGCTTCAAGGGTCACTCCCGCGGCGTCACATTGTGGGCGTGAAGGAGGTTTTTGTGTGAGAATCTCCAAGTACCTCAAGGAGGCTAGGGCCTTGGGGTGTAAGTCCTTTGACGGCACCGGTGACATCACCGTTGCCGCCGATTGGATAAAGAAGGTGAAGGATGCGGCAAAAGACATGCAAATTTCACCGGACGTGAATTTGACTGTTGCTTCACGGCTGCTCGAGGGGATAGCTTCCACGTGGTGGGAGAGTGTAGAAGGGAAATACCATGGGGAGGTCTCGTGGTTGAATTTTGAGCAGGAATTTTATGACCAATACTACACTGACTACGAGAAAAATGTCAAGCGTAGGGAGTACACCAACCTCAAACAGAATGAAGGTGTTTCTGTTAAACAATTGGAGCAAGATTTTAGAACCTTGGCTAGGTTCTTACCGGAGTACGCGATCAATGAGGACCGCATGTCGGAGCACTTTTGGGATGCCTTACTCTTGGACATCCGTGATCGGGCTACGTACTAGCGCCACATGACCTTTAGCGAGGTGGTGGAGCAGGGCCTTCTTGGGGAGGCTCAATGGAACGAGAGAAAAGAAAGAGACGCCGAGGAGGCGAAAAAGAGAAAATGGCATAATTCGGGGCCGCCCGAGCAAGCACGGAAGAATAACCACGGTGGGGGTGGTGGTACGTTCAAGGCACCGGCACCACCGGCGAAGAAGAACAAGGATGCTTGGTGGCACGCATCCTCCTCTCAAAATACGGGGCCTCCTATGTGTGCCAACTGTTCAAAGAACCACTCCGGGAAGTGCAACGCACCCCCGAGGTGTTACCGATGTGGGAACACGGGCCACATGAAGGCCAATTGCCCACAATTGGGGGGAGGAGGAGATCCGGGATCCGGAGGAGGAACCATGACGGGAAGAAACCGTGCGGGCCCGTCAAACGGCGGTACGGGAAGAGGCGGCGCGTCCACAAGTCATGCCGCGTCCGTAAATCAAGGCGGGACCCAAGCACGAGTCTACGCGATGACCGAGGCGGATGCGCGGGCAAACCCGGACTCTGTCGCAGGTAATACACTTATTCTGGGCATTTCTAGGCTTACTTTGATCTTATACGTCGTTGGGATTGAGTGCGGGCCACCCCGGGGTCAAACCGGGTGAGTTAGGCCAAATCAGCTGGGAAACAGCCACTGCCGGCCAGGCACGCCGTGCGTGGCACCGTGCCTGGAAGGCAGTGTCGCCCCGAAGAAATTCGGCCAGGCACGGCCGCAGGCACGCCGTGCGTGGCATCGTGCCTGGCCGGCAGTGGCAAGTAGGGAGGGTTCGTTGCACGCACGGCCGTGCGTGCCACCCAGGCACGCCGTGCGTGGACCCCCAACCCCCGAAAATTTATTTTTTTCGCCCCGTTCTTCTACGTTTGGACCCCCGTTTGATTCCAAACCTTAGTATTAACTTAATAACCTCCTAAAGATGTGTAAAAACATTAGAAAATGTATCTTACATGGTGTATAAATGTAGGAACATTAAAGATCAATGGTAGGTGTGCGAGGATCCTCATCGATACCGGGGCACAACGCTCATTTGTGAGTGAGGCGTTCGCCGAGGGCCTTGACGTGCCATTGACACCTATGACGCAAACGTTGCTAGTCTCCACACCGTTAGGAGACGATGTGGAGAGAAATCATTACTATCCATCATGTGAGGTAGAGGTGACGGGTCAACCCTTGACTTGTGATTTCGTACCTCTAAGCATGTTGGAGTTCGATGCAATCCTAGGAATGGATTGGCTTGAGAAGCACCATGCTCGAGTAGATTGCTACACCAAGGTGTTGGAGCTCGAGGATGATCAAGGAAACACGCTATGTTTCGAAGGAGATCGGGGGAAATCAAATGCTTGCATCATATCCGTGATGAGAGCACGGAGGATGATGAGAAAGGGGTGCCACGCATACCTTGCGTACGTGGTGGACGATATGAAGAAAGAAGTTGACATCAAGGATGTACGAGTCGTGTGCAAGTACCCGGATGTCTTTCCCAAAGACCTACCGGGGCTTCCACCCGATAGAGAGATAGAGTTTGTAATTGAAGTGGAGCCGGGAACCAAACCCATTTCGATTCCTCCTTATCGAATGGCGCCGGCCGAACTCCAAGAGTTGAAGATCCAACTACAAGAATTACTGGACAACGGGTTCATCAGACCCAGTCATTCACCGTGGGGAGCACCCGTACTCTTCGTAAAGAAGAAAGATGGTACGCTAAGAATGTGTATCGACTACCGACAGTTGAACAAGGTCACAATAAAGAACAGGTATCCTTTACCTAGGATTGATGACTTGTTTGATCAACTCCGAGGGGCCATAGTATTCTCGAAGATTGACTTGAGGTCGGGGTATCATCAGTTGAAGATCAAGGAGAGTGACATACCTAAGAGTGCATTTCGCACTAGATATGGTCACTACGAGTTTCTTGTGATGTCATTTGGTTTAACCAATGCACCGGCAGCATTCATGGACTTGATGAACCGTGTGTTTAGTGAATACTTAGATCAATTTGTGATAGTATTCATTGATGATATCTTAATATACTCCAAGAGCGAGGAGGAGCACGAACATCATTTAGGGCTTATACTTGATCGGCTAAAGGAAAAGCAACTCTTTGCCAAGTTCTCTAAATGCGAATTTTGGCTCAAGGAGATTGGTTTTCTCGGTCACGTCATATCCGGTTCAGGCGTAGCTGTGGATAACGCCAAGATAAAGGCTATCATGGATTGGGAGAGACCCAAGAATGTGAAAGAGATACGTAGTTTCCTTGGCTTAGCGGGATACTATCGTAAATTTGTTGAAAAATTCTCCGTATTGGCGTCTCCATTAACGAAGCTCACAAAGAAAAGGGCCAAGTTCATATGGGACGACAAGTGTGAGAAAGGGTTCCTTGAACTGAAGAAACGACTTACCGAAGCACCAGTCCTCGCCCTATCCATACAGGGGATAGGGTATGATATTTACAGTGATGCTAGCATCCAAGGGTTTGGATGTGTACTGATGCAAAACGGTAAGGTGATTGCCTATGCTTCAAGGCAATTGAGAAAGCACGAGGTGAACTACCCTACCCATGACCTAGAATTGGGGGCGGTAGTGTTTGCACTAAAAATTTGGAGACATTATCTCTACGGGGAGACATGTCACATTTATACAGATCATAAGAGCTTGAAGTATGTATTCACTCAAAAAGAGTTGAATATGAGGCAGAGGATATGGATGGAGTTGATCAAGGACTACGACTTGATCATCGACTATCATCCCGGAAAGGCCAATGTAGTGGCCGACGCACTGAGCAGGAAGAGTACGTAAGGGACATTACTTACTTGTCTGCGGGCATTGAGGGCACGCGTGGAGGTGTCCACGCGTGGGGCTTTCATTGCTCAATTTGAGGTTAGGCCCACCCTATTGGGCGAGATTAGTCGAAGTCAGGCCATTGATGAGGAATGTCAGAAGATCCGTGAAAGGATCCTTGAGGGGCCCGTTGAGAATTTTCGGGTACGTGATGACGGTCTTTTGATGTTTAAAGATCGTGTGTGCATACCAAAGGATGAGGAGCTCCAGAAGTCTATACTTGAGGAGGCTCATTCTTCAGCATATGCTATGCATCCAGGAGGTACTAAGATGTACCGAGATTTGAAGGAAAGTTACTGGTAGTCAGGTATGAAGAGAGATATCGCAGAGTATGTGAGTCGATGCCTTACTTGCCAGCAAGTTAAGGCAGAGCATCAGCACCCAGCAGGGCTCTTGCAGCCACTCACCATCCCAGAGTGGAAGTGGGAACATGTGACCATGGACTTCGTGGTGGGGCTGCCACGAACAGTGAACAACTACGATGCAGTATGGGTAGTGGTTGATAGGCTCACCAAGAGTGCACACTTTCTGCCTATCAACATTACTTATCCTCTTGAAAGATTGGCCAAGCTATACACGGAGGAGATTGTGAGATTACATGGAGTCCCAATATCCATTGTCTCGGATAGGGATCCACGATTCACATCCCGATTTTGGCCAAAGTTTCAAGCATCGTTGGGTACTAAACTGAAGTTTAGCACAGCCTTTCACCCACAGACGGATGGACAGTCCGAACGGGTGATACAGATTTTGGAAGACATGCTTAGGGCATGTGCGCTGGAGTTCCAAGGAAGTTGGGACAAGCATTTGGCCCTAGTGGAGTTTGCTTATAACAACAGTTAT